TGTGACTGGCGCCTGTAGTCCCAGCTACTTGGGAGGCGGAGGCAGGAGACTCGCTTAAGCCCAGGAGTTGGAGGTTGCTGTGAGTTGTGATGCCATGGCACTCTACCCAGGGGGACAGCTTGAGGCTCTGTCTTCAAAAAAATAAAAAGAAACCTAGAAGCTATTTTCTCAGTTTCTGTAGTGGGTGTGACAACTATGTAGTGTATATTTTTAGCATTTAATAAGTACTTTTATGTCTCACTCAACATTATTTCTCCTGCTTTTGCCAGTCCTAGAGCTGCCTGAATTTTTGTTATGTTGGACCTTAGAGAAATGTATAATGAGCAAACTCCCTATTCTTTGGAAACTACTGTTGTGGGAGATAGGAACATTGCTTCTCCAAGTTAAAAAAAAAAGAATTTAGTCAACAATAGTTCAGTGTCCATTCAAAAATATTTGAGAGTTGAGTGGTGCCTGTAGCTCAAGGAGTAGGACCCGTATACCGGAAGCGGCAGGTTCAAACCTGGCCCCAGCCAAAAACTGCAAAAAAAAAAAAAAAATTGAGAGGTACACTCTGGTTTCTCTTCAGATTGTATAAATCTTTTGCCTTTTACTAAAGATTTCTGTGGAGAGGAACAATTCTGAGTCTTTTTTTTTTTTTTGTAGAGACAAGAGTCTCACTTTATTGCCCTTGGTAGAATGCCATGGCGTCACACAGCTCACAGCAACCTTCAACTCCTGGGCTTAAGTGATTCTCTTGCCTCGGCCTCCCAAGTAGCTGGGACTGTAGGTGCCCACCATAACACCCAGCTATTTTTTGGTTGCAGTTCGGCCGGGGCTGAGTTTAAACCTGCCACCCTCAGTATATGGGGCTGGCGCCTTAGTTACTGAGCCACAGGCACCGCCCTCAATTCTGAGTCTTTACCTAATTTTTTGAGGTCTTGTGTTTGCAAGCTGCTTTAAAAAATATATTAGAGAGGCTTGGCACCTGTGGCTCAAGTGGCTAAGGCGCCAGCCACATACACCTAAGGTGGCGGGTTCAAATCCAGCCTGGACCCGCCAGACAACAATGACGGCTGCAACCAAAAAATAGCCGGGCATTGTGGCGAGCGCCTGTGGTCCCAGCTACTTGGGAGGCTGAGGCAGGAGACTCTTTGTGAGCCCAGGAGTTGGAGGTTGCTGTGAGCAGTGAAGCCACGGCTTCTACCCAGGGGGATAGCTTGAGGCTCTGTCTCAAAAAATATATATATATTAGAGAGTGCTTGATTTGGTAGCACATGTACTAAGTAAAAAAATCCAAATGATAAAAATATTTGAGAGCCTACTACATGCTGGACCCAATACTGTGCACTGTGGTAGCCACTGGTTGCATATAGCTATCTAAAATTCATTGAAATTAAGTTGGGCACAGTGGCTTCTGCCATGGAATCACAGTGACGCTGGAGGCTGAGGTGGAAGGATTTCTTGAAAGCTAGGAGTTCCAGACCAGCTGTCCAAATATAGTGAGACCCAGCCTTTAAAAAAAAAAAGCTGGATAATGTAGTTTTGTTTTGTAATCCTAGCACTCTGGGAGGCCGAGGTGGGTAGATCACCTGAGCTCAGAAGTTTGAGAACAGCCTGAGCAAGAGTGAGACCCTGTCTCTACTAAAAAATAGAAAAAAAAAAATAAGCAGCTAAGCATCATTCCTGCTCCTGTAGCCCCAGCTATTCTGAGAGACAGAGGCAAGAGGATTGCTTTAGCCCAAGAGTTTGAGGTTGCTGTGAGCTATGACACCATGAAACTCTACCCTGGGCAACAGAGTGTAGACTGTCTCAAAAAAAAAAAAAAAAAAAAAA